CATGCGGCAGGGGAAACTCTGAATGGAGGGCTAAGAAATCTGCATTCTGTTTAGGAGGAAATGAGAAGTCACTGAAGACTCTGCACAGGGACGTGATGGGAGCAGAGCTGTGGCAGCCGTGGCGAGGATGTATTGGAGAAGGAAGAGACTGGCACTCGGGAGCGTCTAATAGCCACTGAGATAGCACCAGGGAGGCAGAGTGACTGTAAGGAGCTGGAGTCATGGCCGAGAGAAGGCACACTTCACAGGGCTCAGTGCCTGATGTGTGCTGTGGCTGAAGGAGAGAAAGGACCTGAGGAAGAGCTTTCAAGCCTAAGATGCTGAGCGAAGGTAGTACTAGTCAGGGAAACACAGCGGGCCAGAACCACAGGATGGAAGCAGGATCCATTAGCCATTATTCATACATGTTGAGGTCCTGGGACACACAGATCAGAACATCTATCAGATACCTGGAAAATGGATGCTTTCTCAAAATTCTGCCTATTGGCGATGTTAGGATTCAACGTTATTTAGAGGTTATAGCCCCAGAGGGATTTTTTGAGCTATAACTGGCATCAAACATGATACTAGTTTCAGGGGTACAACATAATGATTCTCTCTCTATACCTGTGTTGTGAAATGATCACCACAATAAGTCTAGGTAACATCCATCATCACATATAGTTACATTTTTTTCTTTCTGGTAACAAGAACCCTTACAATCTACTGTAAAGCAATCTACTGTCTTAGCAATTTTCAAATATACAACACAGTATTGTTAACTGTAGTCACCATGCTATACATTACATTTCCAGAACTTATTTATGACTGGAGATTGTACCTTTTGACCACCCTGCTCCTGCCTTTGGTAATCACTAATTTGTTCTCCAGAGGAGATTATTGAATCTGTAGAGTAGGAAAATTTCTTGAGGGAGTATCAAGACAGAGTGGGGGGAAAGATGACTCGGAATAAATGTCTTGGAGAACGCTCACATTCAGAGGAAGAATATGAAAAAGGAGGGATCAGAAAGGTGGGAGACACAGGAAAGGACACAACTAAGGAAGTGTCAAGAGAGAAATGAGTTTGTAAGAAAATTCCAGACCCTGTAGCCCCCATGCTGCACTAGGATAGGTGTTTATTCCACTGGTTCATACACTTCACCAAGTTTGGGAAACACTGCTAGAGTGAGATTGAGGAACTTGAGAAATGAGCTCAGTGAATTTACATTAAAGCTTAATGTATATTCTACTCATGCTTGGAGCTGCTCTTTACCAAAATAATGCAATCATAAATACAGTGAATGGATTTTGTAACAAAAAGGAGTTTTTTGGTAAGTTTTCACAGGACAATTTTGGAAGGTGGGTGTGGTGGGGTGGAAGTCTGATTATTGAGGGTTAATTAGAGAGAGATTAACAAGGAAAAATGTACACTTTTCTTAAGTCTTTGTTTCCCAAACTGTAGTTTGGACATCCATGAAGAGATGTGTTGTTAAGAGGAAGCAACTTTAGCTAAAAATAAGATAAAAAGCATGGAGAATACCCAGAGGGACATAGTTATTAACTGAGGAAAGTCAAGTCTAAAAAGGAAGTTATTCGGAAGGTCTCAACAATATTTGTTAACACTGAGAGTATAAAGTAAAAGCAGTGCCAAAATTAGGACACAGTCTTAAAAATATGATTAGACCCCCCCCCGGACTCCTCCCAGAGGACAAGGTCTAAAATATTTCAAGCAGCTAAATCTGATAATACATAGCATAGTAAACATACTATATCTGGAGTCTCTAAAATCCCTTAAATTAATCCACACACTGTCACTAGAAAGGTCCCATATGAAGGAGTTTGTTTTCTTTCCTCGAGTCTTTCTTCACTTAAATATAATATGAATATTTGTTTTTACAAGTTAAATCTGTCATTCAAAGCACAGTTTAGTCTGTGGGAAAACCAAACAAAAAAGTCTAATTTCTAAAAAACAAAACAAAACAAAACAAACAAAAACAAAACAACCAGTCTTTTCAATTCTAAAGAAGTATGAAAGAAAAATGACCTGCAATAAATTATTTGTAAAAAAATAAATAAAAACTCACAAAAAATTTCAATGGTGCATCTTTTTAAAAAATAAAAGCAGAAGGAAGTATATTTAAAGAAACAGTATGGAGAAAGTATCTTCAAAGCTGTATTAAATATGTCCCAGCTATGGAAAACTCAAATACCCAGTCTGGTTTCTATGAAACTTAAAAAGATCAAACAATTAGAAGGAAGCTAGAATTGAAGGCGAAATGCTAGGGATTTCAGTAAACATCTGGTTACCATTTTCAGTTGAAAGAACTAACCCACTTAAGGAAGTAGTTTAGTTTCTTTGGAGTAAAAATGAGACAGTGGCTTTCTGTTCTCTTTGCACAGCGGAGGGTAAAGGAAACATTAGAATGGGGAGGTCACTCAAAACTCAACTTTCATAAAGAAGAAAGTGTTTTTTTGTTTTTTGTTTTTTTTCCCAGAAACTAAAGTAAATTGAACTCAGGTCCCTATAGTACAAACAACCCAACTGAGTTAAAGTTAAATAAACATTCCTTGAGCTCTCATGTGCCAATTAAAGAACAAATTCTGTCTGGTTGTAAATACATCAGGAATTCTATCAGCAATGAGAAAAATAACAATAAACCCGAACACACAATTACCATGTGTCATAATACAATAAAATAGAATGCGCGGCCCTCTGCGTTTCTCTGACTCAATTCCTTTTCCTTCCCAGTTTGATTAACTAAAGGCATAGAAGCACTTCTGACACTGTCCCAAACCTATTACTTGCCTAATAAAAAACGTATGTCAAGTGTGTTCCAGGCAAAATACCGACAAGGCAAAACACACTGTGCCTTTTAAATGTGACCTTTACTCTCTTGTCTTCCTGCTAAACAGTCATAGTGCTTATTAAACTCAGGAAAGCGGCGGGGTGCTGGTGTGGGGCTGGAGGGAAAGAATGAGAAGTTCTTTAGGCTCTCACATTTTAGATGATCGGTAGAAGCATCTACTATAAACGTGCTATAAACCTTCAGTTTTGCCTCCAGATCCATGTTTCTCCACTTCTTTGCTTCCCACTCTTCTCTTCTGCCCAGAGGACAGGAGACTAAAAGCATAGACTAAAGCAAAGGAATCCTAGAATGTCAGAGGTTTCAAATCTTGTCTTGCTTTCTCTCATTCTGCATGTATAAATGCTACAGTGTGTCCCAGGACTGCGGATTTTGAAAAACGCTTCAGTGGTGACTTTATTCATTCTCCCTGAGCAGCAGCCCTGACCTGCTCCCATCCCAACAAAGCTTCCTACCCTTTGAGTTGGGCTGTCCCATTGCTGGATAACTCTGATACAATGTTCATCCTTAAGCTGGTCCTAGCTATGCCTTCTAGGGTTACTACAAATAAATCTTGTACTCAAACGTCCCGTCCCGTTGGACAGTGGGAATACAGAAATATTGGCCCAACTGCTGCAGGGCCTCCCAGAAATGGTCTTTCCAATCGGAACAATCTATTTTCTTGTTCTTGCTACAGTTCTGGTTTCTGCTGCAACTGTTGAAATATGCCCTCTCCAAGTATGCTTAAATAATTCCAACCCAACGATAAAATACACTCTGCGTCAGAGTCTCTTAAACTACATATTACTTAGACTCTACCCTGGGAGCAAGTTAAAAACTTTTGGAAAATATTTATCCTCTCTTAGGCCACTATTCATTCTATGAACTAAAACAATGATTTACCAAACAGTACCTGGATGTTATGAAAGAGAATTTGATGGTGCCTCTTTCTTTTTCTTTAGAGAAGTATATGTTGTAAAAATCCTGGCTCACATGATAGATTTTTCCAGAGCAAGGGATTAGAAGAGCATAAAAGTGAATATTTTACGCTAGGCTAAGAAAAGAACTAGACAGCGTAAGATAGAGGACACAAAACAGGACCTAAATGACATGATGGGGCTTTTGACCTTTAATGCTCGCCGATGTTCACGACAGTAAAAGCTATATGATTATTATTTCCATGTCCTTTACTGGAAAGCATTTTTAAGTAACACCGAGAGTTCCATTGTTTAATGGAATATTAAACCTTCAGTGAATCAATTATCACCTCTAAGCAGATAACCCACAAATCTACATCTCCTGCCCTGACCACCAGTCTCGCTAAACACATCCATATGTAAAGCTCAAGGCACCTGAGTATGCTCTGAATTAAATTCATCAGCCCTCCCCACAAAACCAACAGGCTAACACTGCTAAACGGGACAGAGGCGTCTTGAAAGCCAAAGAAGACTGAAAAATGGACACAGCGTTAAAAATGTCAACAGTCGAGAATCATTTGATGTATAAAGCATTCGCCCTGTCTACTACTGCCCTTGTGGTTGCATTACTTTTGTTATAAGAGCAGATCTGAACACAAGTAGAATAGCAGTGTTCCTGTAAAGTTACATAAAAATGAAAGGTTGATGAAGAAAGTTTTAACGTGAAAATCTGAGGCATTTCACTCTTTAAGGGGCTTAGCTATTGGTGTTCGATTTTATCTTCTTTCATTCATGTATTCAATAGATACTTATCACGTACCCTACGTGGAGGGCATGGTTTTAAGTGATGAGCAGAGCAGACACAGTTCCTGACCTCAAGGAGTTTACAGATTTTCTTAGAAGTGAATTTTTTTTTTCCAAATGGAATGATCCAAGAGACTATGTGTTGGAATTTCAGGAGGGTTTACAACCCTGATCTTTCAATGAAAACATGTTATGCTGAGAGGGAGACTTGAAAACACTTACCAGGTTCATTTAACCTGAAATATCCAGTAGCAGTGCCCATCTGCTGCTTCTTAGGGAGCCCATGTGAAATGCAGCTCCTTACAAAGCAATCTTCACCATCCCTTTTCTGTATCTAGTTCTTGACAGCAGTCACAATATTAACTGCCATTTTTCAAGCGCCTGCCATGTGCCATTCTCGGAACTATGTGAAAACAATCAGTTTCAGAAAAGAAAACTAGGGCTTTAGGAGGCGAAATAACTTGCCGAGGGCAGTGTAACCACTGAAAAGTAAGACCAGGGACCCCAAGCTAGATTCAGTCTTACTCTACAGCTTAATCTTTTTAATTACCGCAGTCTACTACCTCCCCAAGAAAGCATTTTTCTTGTGTGCGGTTAAGCTCTCCTTACTTATGGGTAGTTGAAATCTCAACTTTCTTATGGCTTCCTTCTGAATACAAACAAAATGGCTCTCGAGCCATTATCAACAAACCTGCAAAATTAGACTAAACTGCAAATGATACGTGGATGTGTTGAACATTTTTAAGAGTGCAGGTGAATGTCAATAAAAATATGCTAAGATATAAATCTATTAAATTATAACAGGGAAGGAAACATTTTTTTTTCTTTTTTTCATGTATTTCTACAACATTAAGTAGTCATCTGTGTCTCTTGCTCTGTTAACTGTATCTTTTAATAGTGCACCCCAAGAACACAGTTGGGTAAATCACAGTGTCCTTATTACTGGGGGAAAGGTGTGAAGCAACATTATTTAAAATATCATCTTCATAACACAATATATCAAATGCAGTATCAATACAAATATTGATAAATACTATTTTATCGCAGTGTTAACCCTAGACCTTCCTAGAAATGCTTTCCCTAGACCATGCTGTGATGTTACACTCTCAGCTCCTGTTGGAAGGTTGTTATGTGAACCAAGATATGACATCCACACCATTTGCAACACAAATGCTGCTCTGGCCCTTGACCCATTACATAACTCAATGTCGTCAACTTAAAAATCCTTTTGAAAAGTTGTTTTAAATATACTATCCGGGCATGTTGGAGATTAGGGGAAGGAACTGTAGCGTTCCCTTCTTCCTGAGAGCAAAACTTCTATTTTTTCCCTTGTTGCTTTGGGTACTTGGCGGCTCAAGCCAAAATTATGGTGGCTAAGAGGAATATCCAGTGTGAGCCCTAATTTTATATTCCATTTTAGTAATCTTATTATTATATGTTTTACTATAAACCATCAGATCCTTTTTGAATGAGGTTTGACGTAAGTTAAAAAACTAAACTATCTCAGTCCTAGAGTTTAACCATCAGCTCGGTATGAGATCAAATAACGTAGAATTAGTCTAGATCCATGGGTCAGAAACGCTTTCTGTCAAGGGCTCAACAATAAATATTTTAGGCCTTAAGAGCCAGACAGTCCCTGTTGCAAATACTCAGCTCTGCT